TTTTCAAATTTGATTATAAGCTGTTTGAGGCAGATTTCAGTGGGAAATAGGAAACAGAGTCTGATTTAGAAGTAACTTTGGCAATCAGGTCTCTAACAGCACAACCACATACTAAATTCCAGACAACAGTCAATTATGAGATGGTATGTTATTTCTCCGCCACCTAGATTTTTACCCTCAGCTATCTGAACCACCATAAATACACCAAAATTTGCCTTTCCCATTAGTTTTTTTTTAGTTGGAATCCTTTAAAATTTTGTGTGCCTTTCATCTTTTAGACCAACAGTCTTACTTTCATGTTTAAAGGCAGTGACCATAACCGTTAAGTTAAACATAACGACTTATATTGCCTAAATTTGAATATAGGCTGTTACATACTAGCTGGATGAGTCTCTGGACTTCTTTTCCTCAACTATAAAATGGGTATAAAACAGCATCTACTTAGACCTGGCGCTGTGGCTCATGCCTGTAATCCCAACACTTTGGGAGGCCAAAGTGGGCAGACTGCTTGAGCCCCTGAGTTTGAGACCAGCTTGGGCAACATGATAAACCCTCCCCCTCCTAACAAAATACAAACAAACAAAAAATTAGCCCGGCGCAGTGGCATGCACCTGTCGTCCCAGTTACTAGGGAAGTTGAGGTGGAAGGATCGCTTAAGCCTGAGAGGCAGAGGCTGCAGTGAGCAGAAATCGCGCCATTGCACTCCAATTTGGGTGACAGAGTGAGACCCCGTATCAAAAACAAAACAAAACAAATGAACCAGTATACTTATAAAAATAAACAACAAGCTGGGCACAGTGGCTTATGACTGTAATCCCAGCACTTTGGGAGGCCAAGGCAGGTAGATCACCTGAGGTCAGGAGTTCAAAACCAGCCTGGTCAACATGGTGAAAACCCATCTCTACTAAAAATGCAAAAAATTAGCCGGGCGTGGTGGCGAGCCCCTGTAATCCTAGCTACTTGGGAGGATGAGACAGGTGAATCGTTGAACCCAGGAGGCGGAGGTTGCAGTGAACCGAAATCGAGCCACTGCACTCCAGCCAGGGCAACAAGAGTGAAACGCCGCCTCAAAAAAAAAAAAAAAAAAAAAAAAAAAAAAGAAAAGAAAAAGAAAAAAATAACAAATATAAAGCACTTTAAACAGCAGTCAGTCCCTGGCACATCAGAGTTATAACCATAAAATAAAGATATGCAATCTTCTGAAGTATGATTCACGATTGTGTCTTATCTTTAACTCAGCATTAAAAATGAATTACAAGCAGAAATGTGCACCAGATTTCATATCATTCTAAATTTAAATGGTTGAATGTGTCCTCCTCAGCTAAGCATCTTAACAGCCACTGATGAGCAATCTAGTAAACTGAATTCGCTCAAAATAAAGAGGCTTCCCAAGAGTTCCCCCCATACCACAAATTAAGAGCTCTGATAAGACACCAACCAGAATCAATTAAATGTATATATTAACATATACAAACCATTGAGTACCCTAAAAAAAAAGAGTAAGATCTTACTCCAGTTTAGTAGTTAACAGTGACAAAACACAAAGCAACTTGTAATTTCTATTAAAAACTTTAAAATATTTTCCCTGTAAAACCACCAAAATAATTTAACAACAACAACAAAAATCCTAGGGGAGATAACAAAAATCAACTTTTGTATTTGAAGAAACGTCAAAAGGTATATTGAAAACTGACTTCCTGGGAAAGATGACAGTTTATTTTACTATTAATTTCAAAGTTTTCATTCACAATTAGCATTTCACTCTTTTATCTTTTAAATAGACACAGGCTCCAGCACCTTTCCAAATACTGAAATTTACTGGTTTTGGTTTCCAATCTATGACTTTTTCTTTAAACTTCTGGATCTATCGGTTTAAAAAAAAAAAACAGGAAATAAAAGACAGCCTCTTGTTTAAAAGGGCACGACAATCAGGCACTCCATACTTAAAAGTATGTTTTCACTTGTTAAAATGTCTTAACACTATTCTAGTAAATATCTCAAACTTAATAGCACCCTAATTTCCTTTCAAATATTGAATATAAAAGACCTTAGAAAAGATCAGCAGTCTACCAAAGTACAAATATAATTCTACTGAGGAGTGACTACCAATCACTTTACTTTTGGATAAGGTTTACACAAGAACATGACTTACTACTAAACTAAAACATGAACCACTATAATTAACTCCATATTTTTCTGGTAAGCAATAATTATCAATGTTAAAAATATTTCAACAAATATGACAAGCCAACTTCAGAGCACAAAGTTGGCAGATAAAATTGACACCACAGCACAATTTCAAAACTATAAGCAACTATTAAACACGCACACCACAACGCACCACACCCATTCTTATGTAAACTTTTGGAGTACTCAACTTTGTGAGCCTCACCTTTGTTTTCACCTAGCATAAGGAGAGTTAAAGGTGAGACACCAATTGCAAAAAACTAAAAGATCAAAAGATTCAGTTAATGTCCCCACAGGGGAAACGACTAAAACCTTTAAACGTTAATGTATTTAAGTAATCGAAGGGCAGGGCACTTCCCCAAGCTACAGCCATTTTAGATTCAGACTTTCTTTCGAATTTCACGGGTTGGGGAGAACTAAATTTAAAACAAGAGAAAAAAAAAAAAAAAAAAACACTTAAAACATTTCAGGATCGACCAGCTTTCCCCGCCCCTCCAAGGAAAGGAGGTTGGTAGACATTGGATAGACTCAATCTAAACGAAAACACCTCGCTACCACAGAGAACCGGAAAGCTGGGGGTTAAAACTTTTTTCCCCTCAGATATCCAACATTTGACTTATACTTTTTCGTCCTCAGGTTTTCCTGTGAAGGAAAACAAAAGCCCTTAGCTTTCATTTCAAGAAGGAAAGAAAAAAACCCTTAAGCCAAGTCACTCAACCAGCACCAAGCCGGATCGCCTGGAGAGGAGCCAAAGAGCCGCAGGTGAGCGTTCGGACCCGAAGACCAAAGTTAAAGTAGGAGCGCTTTCGCGGAGCCCCGGCGACGCTCGCGTGCAAAACTCCACGCACGGGGGTGGCAGGGGTGCAGCGTACGAACCACTTGACCCGTGGGCTCCGCTCGCCCCTCTCGGGTCGGACCTACACCCAACCACCTGTGTGAGAGCTTCTTTCAACTAGTTTTAACAGCCGGTTGGTTAGGCACCGGGCGGAGCCTCGCGCCGGAACGACTCCAAAATCTCCTACTGCCCCGTTGTCCCAAACTCCCACTCACCGGGCAGCGGCGGAGCTACGGCCAGGGACTAGACGCGGCGTCTGAGGACGCGTCCCCAGCTTGTCGACCCGGCAGAGGCGTTTAGTCCACAACCATAACAAAGCTCTTCCCAAAATGGCTGCCCGGCCCACAAGGTCCAGGAGGGGCAGAGCGGGTGGAGGAGGAGGAGCGACGAGCAGCACGGCCCTCCCCTCCCCCGTCCGACCCCGCCTTACACACGCCCACCTGAGGAAGCGCATGCGCACGGGACCGGCTCCGGCGGCCCAGCCGGACGCCAGTGCCCCACGCTGCCAACGTTCGGCCTCCAGAACGGCGGTTATGCCCTGCCCCGCCCTCGGCTCCCTTCCTCGCCGCTTGAGGCGGTGCGTGGTCGCCTCTACCTCCTACAGAATTGAATCCTCTGCCTTTCCTCGTGCCGCCTGAGGCAGGGACAAGCCTAGTTTAGTACGCCCCTTCTAACCCCCGCTGCCCACTTCCAGGGCCTGGGCGCGTATGAATGAGTGGGTGGGTATGCATATGTGTATCCTTTTTCTTCACCCTCCCACAGCCCGCCCCTGGGCCAGTGCGCGTCCCGAAACTACCTCTACAAGGACTTGCAAACCGGTTTCGGAGGAACGTGTGTTTTCCGGCCCTTTCCCACCTTCTGCTCCTTACTTCACGTGTGCGCGTCGCTGAGACTCCAGCCCCCAGCGGGCCACACGGCCTGCTCCCGGAGACTGCGCGGCTGCGTCGGCCGCGCTACCCGCTGGGAGTAGTAGTTCCCCGGGAGCGCAGGCGTCACTGCCCCGCCCCAGCGAAGGGCGGGATTCCGGCGAGAGCCTGCGCTTGTGACAGTGCCGTTTCTCCTACCTGAAGTCTCATTGGGTATCGCGCTACTGGAAGGGGCGGCGCTGCCATGACAGAGGAGGCAATAAAACTGAAGGCCTAGCTCGACCAAAAGCGCTTTAACGGACTTCGCTGTGGCTCCATCCGGCACGGAAAGCTAAACCTTGTAATGGCTGGCAACCAGGAAGCTAGACTACCTAGAATCCGGAGGACTGGAGGGACTGGCAGGCGTGGGCCCCTGAGATCTCCTATTACATGTCTTCAGCTTTATCCATAGACATGGAAGGACACTAAGATTGCCTGGTGCCATTTCCTGTGAAATAAGTCCAGATAAGAGAAGGGACTTGTCCAAGGTCACATAGCCAGGAAAGCCGAGGGCAGCAGAAGAAATGATCTGACTTTCCCAACCACCCCCAAGCCTAGGGCCCTTATCACCACATCGTTCATGGAAGTGAAAATCCTGCTCTTTTGCTCTTTAATCCTTAATGAAGTTTCTAGGTCCTAGCAAAGAAAATGAATGTAAGAACTGGGCTTTTTTCCCCCTTTAAATGATAGTAAAGGGCCGTAATGCAGAGTGAGATGTGTCCCCATAGGTCTTATAAACCCTGTTTTACAAAGTAAAACGTTAAGTTCCACAGATGGCAAGCAGTTCCAGGTCACATTGGGCCTAAAATCCCAAGTCTCTTACCTTCCTTCACCACCGTCATTCTGAGATTGTTTCAGTACTTGCACTCTACCTTCCCGAACTCTGTGGACAGATTCTGCTGCCTGGGAGCCCTGGAATAAAAAGTCAAGGACCGTTCGACATCTGAATTCAACTAGAAATTAAGAATGGCCCCCAAACAGAAAGCCGGGCATAGGAACCAGTTAGCGCAGGTCAAGTCCCTACCCGGACTCATTTTTTTTCAGTCCTCAGGAAGTAGGGGGCTCTCTGAATCCACTCGCCGGAAGTGCCTTTCCAGTAGACCTGGGCTATTGTTGCGGTTGTTCTCCGCCTCTCCGTGCAACGCTGGCAAGTCTCAAAGTCGCCACAGGTGCAGGTTGGGATGGGAGGCACCAAGGATTGGTAGTAAATTGGAGACGCGGGCACTATCGGGCAGGGTTTCCCGAAGACACTGGCGTCTAAACCCCGCCTTCCTTTCTCAGAGGTCAGTTTGAAGTTTGCGGTTTGCAGTCTTCCCACTAGGGCAATGGGAATATTGAGCTTTTTCATTTATATTAGGAGGATTAAGCTTTGAGTCTCAGTCCTTAATCCCGCATCACCTGCCGTCCCTGGTCTTTAGGTTATCACTTTTTAATATCCACTAGTTGGAAAGCACGTGCCACAGAGGAAAGGGAGTGTCCAAAGGTGGGGGAGATGGTTGAGATTTTAAACGGAGTTATCTGGAAAGTCCTTACAAAGAAAGTGATTTTGCACAAAAGTGATGGGTACGCTCTGCGGACATTTTGGTCTGGGGCTCAGGTGGGTGGGTGTGGGTTTGTGGGCCTTCTACTCGGAGGCCCAGGATAACTTACCTCCCTACTTCCTTAAGTATAGCATGAAGACATTAACTGGTATACAGGATTTCTTGACCCAGCCCTAAGATCTGTGATCAATAAATTAGTTCAATCGGTTTTTGTTTTTTTGTTTTTTTTTTTTGAGACATAGTCTCGCACTGTCGCGTGGGCTGGAGTGCAATGGCACGATCTTGGCTCACTGCAACCTCCGCCTCCCAGGTTCAAGCAATTATCCTGCCTCAGCCTCTCAAGTAGCTGGGATTACAGCCGTCCGCCACTACGCCCAGCTAATTTTTTGTATTTTTAGTAGAGACGGGGTGGGGGGGGAGGGGGTGGTGTTTCACTGTGTTGGCCAGGCTGGTCTCGAACTCCTGACCTAGTGATCCACTCGCCTCGGCCTCCCAAACTGCTGGGCCTACAGGAGCGAGCCACTGCACCCTGCCCAATCGATTTTTTTAAATTAAGCAGCAACTAGATTTTTTAAGACATCCCATTCTCCTGGTTAAGAATGAAGTTGTCAGATCTAGATCCGTATTATCATTCACCTGTTTTTACTGGCTGCTTACATTAGAGTTTTCAATCAGTCCCTCCTGTGTAAAGTGCTTTGTGTCAGGGACAGTTCTCAGCTATTTACATGTAGTAACTTATTAAGTGTTACATCAGGCTAAGTAGCACACACCTGTAATCCCAGCACTTTGGGAGGCCGAGGCAGGTGGATCGCTTGAGCTCAGGAGTTCGAGACCAGCCTGAGCAATATGGCAAAACCCGTTCTATACAAAAAATACAAAAATTGGGGCCAGGCGCGATGCCTCACGCCTGTAATCCCAGCACTTTGGGAGGGCGAGGCAGGTGGATCACGAGGTCAGGAGATCGAGACCATCCTAACACGGTGAAACTCCATCTCTACTAAAAATACAAAAAAATGAACTGGGCATGGTGGTGGGGGCCTGTAGTCCAGCTCCTCAGGAGACTGAGGCAGGAGAATGGCATGAACCTGGGAGGTGAAGCTTGCAGTGAGCTGAGATGGCACCACTGCTCTCCACCCTGGGCGACAGAGCAAGACTCTGTCTGGGCGTGGTGGTGTGGCCTGTAGTCCCAGCTCCTTAGAGGGCTGAGGTGGTAAGATCCCTTAACCCTGGGAGGTCAAGGCTGCAGAGAGCGGAGATCACACCACTGTACTCCAGATTGTGTGACAGAGCGAGACCCTGTATCCCAAAAAAAAAAAAGTTACATCAACCCTATGAATTAGTTAGTACCCTTATTTCAAAGGTGAATGAACTACACCATAACAAGGTTAAATAATTTGTTCAAAGACACACAGCTAATAAGTAGTGGAGCCAGGATTCCAGCCAAGTTTGACACCAAAGTCTGCACTCCAACAGGCTATTCTCTCTCTCAGTACTAAGTTAATGAGGTTATTTTGAGCATTAAATGAGTTAATGCTAGCCAGGTGCGGTGGCTCACGCCTGTAATCCCAACACTTTGGGAGGCCTCGGCAGGTGGATCACCTGAGGTCAGGAGTTCAGGACCAGCCTAGCCAACATGGCAAAATCCCATCTCTACTAAAAATACAAAAATTGGCCGGGTATCGTGGCAGGAGCCTGTAACCCCAGCTACTTAGGGGGCTGAGGCACAAGAATCGCTTGAACCCAGGAGGCGGATGATGCAGTGAGCCAAGATCATGCCACTGTACTCCAGCCTGGGTGACACAGCAAGACCCTGTCTCAAAACAAAAAAACCTAAATTATATTGGTTTGGTACTATCGTTATTTTGAGTTGTGAACTCTTAAGCCCCAAAGTAAATAAGGAGAAAAAAAGGAAACAGAGAAGCTATGACCTTCCAGTTTTGTTTTGTTTTGTTTTTTTATTTCACAAAAATGCCATTTAGAAGACCCTTCATTTTAAAGATGAGAAAACTGGTACTCAAGCAATTTGCCCAGTGTCACACAGCTAGGAAATGGTGAAAGTATCTATAAAATCTCTATGTGCATTACTCTTTCTATTACACCAGACAGCCAAAGCTAAAAGAACAGTTCAGGTATTAAAAGGATCTATTTCGTTACTGTGTTACCGATAGTTTGAAAACATAAATGATTCTTTTCAAAGGAAACTGATATATTCATGAATTACTACTATTTTAAAATTAATGTATAAAATGAGGAAAATTAAGTGACATCTTGTGTTATACACAGAAATGCCCCTGATTCAGTGCCTCCACTTAGCTGCAACAACACGTTAATCAGAACTGCCTGGCATCTTCCTAAACAAGACTTTCAATAGGGGCCAGTATGCTTCGCTTCATCCAGAAGTTTTCTCAAGCATCTTCAAAGGTTGGTTTGTTCAGCAAATATTTGAGCACTATTTGCCAAATATTGCTTGGGCTAGGGCAGCAGCAGTGAAAAAGACAAAAAGTCTTACCTTTGTGTATTCAGGTGATGGAGGGAAGAGTTAAGTAAAATACAAGTAAAATCTTTATTATATCAGGCTGGGTGCAGTGGCTCACGCCTGTAGTCCCAGCAATTTGGCAGGCCAAAGTGGGTGGATCACTTGAACTCAAGTTCAAGACCAGTCTGGGCACATGGCAAAACCCTATCTATACAAAAATTTAGTTGGGCATGGAGTCACACGCCTATAGTCCCAGCTACCTGGGAGGCTGAGGGAGGAGGATTGCTTGAGCCTAGGAGGTTGAGGCTGCAGTGAGCTGAGATCATGCCACTGCACTCCAGCCTGGGTGACACAGCAAGACGACGTTTGCAAAAAAAAAAAAAAAAATTGGCCAGGTGCCGTGGCTCATGGCTGAAATCCCAGCACTTTGGGAGGTTGAGGCAGGTGGGTCACTTGAAGTCAGGAGTTCAATACCTGCCTGGCCAACATGGTAAAATCCTTGTCTCTACTGAAAAATACAAAAATCAGCTCAGCATGGTGGGCGCCTGTAGTCCCAGCTGCTTGGGAGGCTGAGGCATAAGAATCACTTGAACCCAGGAAGCCGAGGTTGCAGTGAGCCGAGATCACGCCACTGCACTCTGGCCTGGGTGACAAAGGAAGACTTCATCTCAAAAAATAAAAATTTAAAAAAATAAGGCCAGGCACAGTCACTCATGCCTGTAATCCCAACACTTTGGGAGGCCAAGGCGGGCGGATCACTTGAGGTCAGGAGTTTGAGACCAGCCTGGACAACATGGTAAAACCCTGTTTCTACTAAAAATACAAAAATTAGCTGGGCATGGTGGCGGATGCCTGTAATCCCAGCTACTCAGGAGGCTGAGGCAGAGAATGGCTTGAACCTGGGAGGCAGAGGTTACAGTGAGCAGAGATTACACCACTGCATTCCAGCCTTGGTGATAGAGCAAGACTCAGTCTCAAAAAAATAAAAATTAATACATCAAATGGTAAGTGCTGTGGAGAACTATAAAGCAGGGAAGTGGAATAGGTAGTGTCAAGATGTAGGATTGAATTTATAAATGGCAGGGGATCAGAAGTAAGTAACTGAGGGAAGAGCAGTAAATATGGAAATGGGAAATGGTTCCAAGATGGAACCATTGCTAGCATGTTTGAGTGATCACTGAGATTCTTCAATAACTTCAATTTTTGCTGGGTGCGGTGGCTCACGCCTATAATCCCAGCACTTTGGAAGGCTGAGGTGGGCGGATCACAAGGTCAGAGATCAAGACCATTCTGGCTAACATGGTGAAACTCCATCTCTACTAAAAATACAAAAAATTAGCTGCCGGGCGTGGTGGCAGGCGCCTGTAATCCCAGCTACTCGGGAGGCTGAGGCAGGAGAATGGAGTGAACCTGGGAGGCGGAGCTTGCAGTGAGCTGAGATCAAGCCACTGCACTCCAGCCTGGGCAACAGAGAGACTCTGTCTCAAAAAAAAAAACAAAACTTCAATTTTTTATTTAATGCAACACTTTTTAGTTCAAGTCTGGTAACTAAAACACAGAATCAGCAGGAAAGGTTATTACTTTGCCCGTGTACAATGAAAGGCACTGGGGATTTTAAGCCAAGGAAAAAAATGCGGTCCTGGCTCTCAAGTCTACTGAGACAAAGACAAGTAAACACACAATTTTAATTCACTGTGAGAAAAATTATGATGGAAGTGTGCACAGGATACTTACTATAGGAGCATTAAATCAGACCGTAGAAGGGTAAAGGAAAGCTTTAACTTGAATGTTGAATGTTGAGGTAAGTTTCCTAGATAGAAAAGTAGTAAGAGCTAGAATTCTAGGCAGAGCCTACACAAAGGCATGGAACTGTGAAAAGTATGTGGTGTTTATAAAGCTAAGTTGGAAGGTAGATTTATTTTCTCCATATAAAAACAGCATTCCCACAGTAATTAGTGCTGCTTCTTTTGCTATTTATAAATAAAAGAGGCAGTTTAGAAGCCAAATTCTGAAGGTCTAGTCTTTACCTGATCCTTTTTCAGATATTTTTCTTATGGAATAAGATTAAGTGGTAGGTTGAAATATATCACTGGTTTGTGTTCAGTGGTTTCTTTTGTACATTTTATAGCCATTTAATACTTTTACCAGCAATAACATCACTTCAGAGTTAGTTCATCCTTTCTGTATAGTTTGATGTGGTAATGGAAAGCAGATCTTTTTTGTTTGCTCCTTTCAAACAATTCCAATTGTTTCATACTGGGATTGACTAAAATCTGATGATACATACAGATTTTTAATTTTGTCTTTTGGTTCTGTTTTCTTTATAGATGCTGAAGTACTCTTTCCCAGTGGGACTAAGAGCCAGCAGAACAGATATACTTTCTCTCAAGATGTCTCGCCAGCAGAACTTTTCCCCATTTCCAAGGCCTTGGCTTTCCTCATCATTTCCGATGTATATGAGCAAGACACAGTGCTATCATACATCCCCCTGCAGCTTTAAAAAGAAGGAGAAGCAAGCACTTCCAGCCAGGTCACCAAGCACCATCAGTTACATAACTGACAGCCCAAAGCCAGCATTATATGTAACTCTGGCAGGACTAATCCCCTTCGTTGCTCCACCACTGGTCATGCTGATGACAAAAACTTATATTCCCATATTAGCTTTTACTCAGATGGCTTATGGAGCCAGTTTCCTATCTTTCTTGGGTGGGATCAGATGGGGTTTTGCTCTACCAGAAGGTAGTCCAGCCAAACCAGACTACCTTAATTTAGCCAGCAGTATAGCTCCTCTTTTCTTTTCATGGTTTGCCTTCCTTATTTCGGAAAGACTTAGTGAAGCCATAGTCACAGTAATAATGGGTATGGGGATAGCATTACACCATGAATTTTTTCTCTTACCACATTATCCCAACTGGTTCAAAGCCCTGAGGGTAGTAGTCACTTTATTGGCTACTTTTTCATTTATAATCACTTTTGTAGTTAAAAGTATTTTTCCAGAAAAAGGACATAAGAGACCTGATCAAGTATAAAAAATATAAAAATACACTATAGATAACATTAGTATGCCGGCTACACCTTCTTCTACTTCTGTTTGGCTCTTTTTTCCCACACCAATGGTCATTTATTCTTCATAGATTGTTCTTCATTTCTAGAAGTTGTTATTTCATAGTAATTACTTGAGCAAAAGCTTGAAAATCCCTGACAAGTACTTTTCTTTTCTTTTTTTTTTTTTTTGAGACGGAGTCTCACTCTGTCACCCAGGCTGGAGTGCAGTGGCCGGATCTCAGCTCACTGCAAGCTCCGCCTCCCAGGTTTATGCCATTCTCCTGCCTTAGCCTCCCGAGTAGCTGGGACTACAGGCACCCGCCACCTCGCCTGGCTAGTTTTTTGTATTTTTTTAGTAGAGACGGGGTTTCACCATGTTAGCCTGGATGGTCTCGATCTCCTGACCTCGTGATCCGCCCGTCTCGGCCTCCCAAAGTGCTGGGATTACAGGCTTGAGCCACTGCGCCCGGCCGACAAGTACTTTTCATCTCATAGTATATTAGTTTTCACTTAGTCATTTTATGAATAGTTATCCACTTAAACATTTCAATTATTTTAACTGTCTTGAAAATTAAAATAAAAGATTAAAAATCCCCTTTGTTAGAGTCCTGTGATCATTGAAAAGAATGCACATATTCTCCCACTTCAAGCGGAAAACGTCCTATCTGTGAGTGTCTGGAAAGAAAAGGTAGTTCCATTGAGGAGTTTTCACAGGAGTTACTACTGGGAAATGCATGTACAAGCTTATTTCACATGGTGTAACCCAATTATATGAGCCAAAAGGATCTATGGCTCTAAAGTCAGTAGGGAGCAGTGTCATGAGGGAAAGCCACATTCAAAGGTAAGTCGGGCATGTTTTCCAGTTTTTATTAGGATATTTGGCATGGTATAGATACAACTTATCCCTTACCACCAAACACATAATATAGCTGGTCAAAATGATTATTTTTAAAGGAAACTATTTAAAATAAAGCCACTAGTGCATATAAGTTAGGAAAGAAAAGTCAAGCTGGAGCCATCTTGATATTCTAATGAGCAGACCTATTTAGTTCTTTTTTTTGAGACGGAGTTTCATTCTGTTGCCCAGGCTGGAGTGCAGTGGCACGATCTTGGCACACCGCAACCTCCGCCTCCCGGGTTCAAGTGATTCTCCTGTCAGCCTCTCTAGAGTAGCTGGGATTATAGGCAAGTGCCACCATGCCCAGCTAATTTTTTTGTGTGTATTTTTAGTAGAGGTGGCGTGTCACCATGTTCGACGGGCTGGTCTTTTAAATCAGAAGCTTTTAACTTTGGTGTGTTTTTGTTTTTGTTTTGTTTTGTTTAAACACAGGGTCTCACGCTGTTGCTCAGGCCGGAGTATAGTGGTGTGGTCATGGCTTACTGCAGCCTCAAGCTCCTGGGCTCAAGCAATTCTCCCACCTCAGCCTCCTGAGTAGCTGGGACTACAGTTGTGCACCACTACGCCAAGCTAATTTTTACATTTTTTGTAGAGACAGGGTCTCCCTATGTTGCCCAGGCTTGTCTCGAACGGAGCTCAAATGATCTTCCTGCCTAGGCTCCCAAAGTGTTAGGATTACAGGCGTGAGCCATTGCACCCAGTGCAGAAGCCTCCTTAAAACAGCAAAAGCAACTCCTTAGATTTTCACTTGAAAACCTAATCTCTAATCACCCTACTTAAGGTGGAGAAAAAAAGAACAAAAAAGAAAACCTAGTTTTCTGAAATTCTTAGTCTCACCAAAAAGGAAAAACGTTTAAAATGGTATAAGAATATAGATCAGGATATAGTATAACCTGGAAGTTTTTTTATTTTTTATTTTTTAGATGGCGTTTCACTCTTGTTGCCCAGGCTGGAGTGCAATGACGCTATCTTGGCTCACCACAACCTCTGCCTCCCGGGTTGAAGCGATTCTCCTGCCTCAGCCTCCCAAATACCTGGGATTACAGGCATGCACCACCATGCCCAGCTAATTTTGTATTTTTAGTAGAGACAGGGTTTCTCCATGTTGGTCAGGCTGTTCTCAAACTCTCAACTTTAGGTGATCCACCCGCCTTGGCCTCCCAAAATGCTGGGATTACAGATGTAAGCCACCATGCCCGGCCTGTATATTTTTTAGAGATGATGTTTCCACTCAGTCTCAATCTGATTCTACTCAGATTGTTTTGATAAGGAAACTCACTTGTTACTAAATTGCATGAATGCTATACAAACAAGACTTTTCCATAATCTGAATTAAATGAATTATTTTCCAGAATAGAGGCAAATCATATTTTTAGGCTAATTGCCTAATTTTACTCAAAAAATGCTAGTTTCCAGGTGAATTACAGTGTATGCTTCTTTAAGAAAACTGGTTTTTAAGTACATTTGATTAAGTACATTGGCAGGATACTTAGAAGCATATCGGATTGTTAAACATTTTGGAGGTAGATCACTTTAATCATTTCTCAAAAAACAGAATTAAATGTAAAACTAAATATGCAAGTCCCTAAAGTAAAAACAAAACCAACTAAAAAATTTGTGCAATCCTACTACAGTTTGGTAACCCAGAATGCCACTGATAAAAGTAATACGAAGAAACAAAAAAACTAGATACTTTATTAGTACATTCTTTTAAAAACAATCTTATTGGCCTGGCGTGGTGGCTCACGCCTATAATCCCAGCACTTTGGGAGGCCAAGGCAGGCAGATCACCTGAGGTCGAGAGTTCGAGATCAGCCTGACCAACATGGAGAAAACTTGTCTCTACAAAAAATACAAAATTAGCCGGGCGTGGTGGTGCATGCCTGCAATCCCAGCTACACAGGAGAGTGAGGCGGGAGAATCAGAGGCAAAGGTTGCGGTGAGCCAAAATCGTGCTATTGCACTGCAGTCTGGGCAAAAAGAGCAAAACTCCATCTCAAAAAAACAAAACAAAACCAATCTTGTCATTACCTAGGAATAATAAGCATATTTACAGTTACCACAGTTACCTATTTTCAGGGATCTTCAGGACCTGTTAAACACTGACTGCTTTGACATTACATTTCTGCCAAGCTGTGCAAAGCACCCCCCTCCACAGTGTCATTTTCAGTTACTACTAGACAATAATGAGAAATTAGTTGTAGAAGTATTTTGTAAATCTGTTTTGGATCAGAATACAGATTCTCTGTAACTAGAAATAGTAAAGGCACATGAGTTAGAGCTTAGTCTATAAATTATCTGTATACTTTATTCTTTGACATCTTACAGATCTCTACACAGACATCTGTGACCCTTCAGACATTCAGGATGCCCCAGAGAAGGGAACATAGGGCTTCCTGCGTGCATTACATAAACTTTTCCTAATAAATACACATAGTTAAGTTATAAGGAAAGTATACTTGTGGAGTAAACCAAGTATTTTATTTTTTTGAGACCAAGTCCTGCTCTATGGCCCAGGCTAGTGGCAGTGGCATGATCTCAGCTCACTACAACCTCCATCTCCTGGGTTCAAGTGATTCTCCTGCCTCAGCCTCCTCAGCAGCTGGGATTACAGGCATGCACCACCACCTGCTGCCAATTTTTTGTATTTTTAGTAGAGACAGGGTTTCACCATGTTGGCCAAACTAGTCTTACCTCAAGTGATCTGCCCACCTCAGTCTCCCAAGGTGCTACGATTACAGGCATGAGCCATGGTACCCGGACTAAACCAAATAATTTGGATATGAGTGCTACCTGATTCATTAATGCAATTAAAAGTTTTCTATCTAAGTAAGTTGATGATGCTTATAATAATATATGGAAGGACCTTAGTAAAGACACGGGAAATCGGCAGAGCGCAGTGGCTCACACCTATAGTCCCAGCACTTTGGGGGGCCAAGATGGGCAGATCCCAAGGTCATGAGTTCAACAACAGTCTAGCCAACATGGTGAAATCTCATCTCTACTAAAGATACAAAAAATTAGCCGGGCATGGTGGCTCACATCTGTAATCCCAGCTACTCGGGAGGCTGAGGCAGGAGAATCGTTTGAACCAGGGAGGCAGAGATTGCAGTGAGCTGAGGTTGCACCATTGCACTCCAGCCTGGGTGACAGGGCAAGACTCCATCTCAAAAAAAAGAAGAAGAAGAAGAAGAAGAAATGGGAAATCAAATCCTTAAGTCAACTAGTTAAATTTTACTGTATGCAGCTGGGCATGGTGGCTCACGCCCATAATCCCAGCATTTTAGGAGGCCAAGGTGGGTGGATCACCTGAGGTCAGGAGTTCGAGACCAGCCTGGCCAACACGGTGCAACCCAGTACAAAAAATTAGCTGGGCATGGTGGCGGGCGCCTGTAATCCCAGCTACTGGGAGGCTGAGGCAGGAGAATCACTTGAACCCAAGAGGCAGAGGTTGCAATGAGCCGAGATCATGCCTTTGCACTCCAGCCTAGGCAACAAGAGCAAAACTCCATCTCAAAAAAATTTTTTTTACTGTATGCAAGACCTTTAATATATATTGCTTCAACTGGCCAGTAGACATAACTTAAAAGTAACCCCATCATACACCCAGTGAATCTTTCTCTTAAAAATGAACAGAGAACAATTCTTTAGAATGCTTCTCAGGGAGAAAATGAGAAGTTTTGAGAAGCAGTTTTGTTTGGGTCAAGGGGTACTTTCAAATTACATTTATAAGTCAGTGTCTATAAAAAGTTTCAGAAGGACCTACAATTTAGCCCTCCACGTCCAAGAAGTAGCTTTGTAGTATGCTCTTACTTAGGTTTGCACAAGTACAAATAAATTTCACAAAGCTTGATAATCTAATAAAATTCCCTCTTCCTAAAGCCAAACAGATAATTTTGGTGACAACAATCTAGCAAAAAAGGAAAAATTTCCTTTTTTCTTTTTTTTGAGACAGGTTATCATGCTGTCACCCAGGCCAGTGTGCAGTGGCACAATCTCGGCTCACTGCAGCCTCGACCTCCTGGGCTCAAGTGATCCTGCAACCTCAGCCTCCCAAGCAGATGGGACCACAGGCACAAGCCACCACGCCTGGTTAATTTTTATATATTTTTTGGTAGAGACAGAGTCTCATCATGTTGCCCAAGGCTGGTCTCAAATTCCTGAGTTCAAGCAATCTTCCCGCCTCACCTTGGTCTCTCAAAGTGCTGGGATTACAGGTGTGAGCCACCATGCCCAG